CTTCCTTGTGGAAATAAATTAAAAGTGACTTGTTAAATAATCTCTAATGTATAAATTTCATTTGCAAAGTTGTAAGATTTGGTTTTTCATAATTTATGGTTCTAGGCTGGATGACCCATTTTCATAGTGACTTCATAGGATGTTGTTGTTTTGTTTGTATATAGGTTTGGTTGAAACTGATCCAGAAGGTGCACTTTCTGGTTTTGCTGAGGTAGTGCGGATGGAGCAAGAAAAGGCAGAATGGTAAGAACTCTATTCTCTGAGTGTTACATAATAATCAAAGTTATCAAATGCAGATTGCGGCATGTCACGGCCAACCCCGAAAAACGTTATAGCGTTATCGCGGGTTGCGGTTGCGGAAATAGTGGAATAGATATATGACAGAAATAATGACAAAAAGAAATATTTTTTAAAGGCAGAGATAACAGAAGTGACACAGAGAGACGCAGATAGACTAAAAAACTCTAAATTTTTTTCTGTTACACATTTAAATTTAGGACAAAATTGTCATTTTTCCTTATGACAGCAATATGGCTGTGATTTGATCGCAAATGTAATCACAATGGCCGTTGTTGCGTTCCGGTGCGGCGCAGCGCAGCGCGGTTTCTTGCGGCGAAGCACTGCAACGCCCATACGGCGCGGCTCGCGGTGCAATTAACTACTATGATAATAATAAAGACATGGATGTTGGAGTTAGAGAACTTAATTGTAATATAATTTGTGGGTGCTGTAGCCTTTTTTGTATCATCATTAATTCTATGATCTGTTGCTGCTTTTGTTTCCTTTTTTTTAAGCAAGAATGATTCTCTTTCCTTTTAGCTGGGTCAAACTAGATTACATTTAATAAATACATCTAATGTGTTTTTTTTCATGCATCCCTTCCCTTGTTTCTTGTACTCTTTCATGCACTGCACTGTGATATGTCTTAAAATCTTTCCACAGTGATAATAAACCATTCTGTATTGCATGTCATACTTATTTTACATTTTACCAGGGGATTTAAAGCTCTAAAGCAAACTGTCAAGCTCTATTATCGACTTGGAAGGTATAAAGAGATGATGGAAGCCTACAGGGAGATGTTGACTTATATTAAGTCAGCGGTGACTCGTAACTATAGTGAAAAATGCATAAACAGCATTATGGACTATGTATCAGGTTCAGCTAGCCAGAACTTTGGCCTTCTGCAGGAATTCTACCAGACAACTCTGAAAGCCCTTGAAGAAGCAAAGAATGAGGTTAATCCTTTGGACATTATCTTTGCTGTTATTTATCTCATGACATTGCCCATTAATGCAATCTTACGTTTATTTTCTATGTCACTCATTTTGCAGAGATTGTGGTTTAAAACAAATCTGAAGCTTTGTAAGATTTTCTTTGATATTGGGGAATATGGACGGATGAGTAAGGTAATATGTTCTATTTTTGTGCAAAGGTGTAGTTTGCTGTCCAACTTAATTTGAATGCATGTGTATCTGATAGGTACCAGAGGAGTGATAAAGGGATAAAAGAGGAAACAAGGAAAACTGAAATTGATATTGCTGGAAATGAGATAGAGTTGTAGAAATCTGCTTATGAAATGAAGATGAACAAGATTACAGTGAAAGGAAATTAAAATAGAAACATAAAGAAAATGATAAGTCCTTGAGTAATTCGAGAGGCTCAGGTGTCTCTCCAAAAGTCCTAACTAATTCCCAGATACCCCCTTTACTAGCAGTAATCCCAATTTATATTTGTTCAGCCCCTTCCACACATTGCTGCCCTTGATTGCCCATTTTGTGAATATTCTCTCCGTATAGCCGATGACTCACCTTGATAATTGCCCATTTCTTGAATATTTTCCCAATCCCCCCTAATATAAAATTACTCATGATTGATACCCTTTAATGCAAAACATTCTCCCAATCCCCATTAATACAAAATCACCCGTAACGATTGATATCCATAATTAATATAGAATCAATCACCTGAAATTCATACCCATTAATACTGAATTACCATAATAAAATCCCTACATTTATTATGCACACTTAGCATGGGTGGTATCCTATCTTTATCTATTGGTATCTACTAGTATTGGATAATTTAATGATTCGTTGAACCCTGTCAGATCTTGAAAGAACTTCACAAATCATGTCAAAGAGAAGATGGTACAGATGACCATAAGAAAGGAACCCAACTTTTGGAGGTTTATGCAATAGAAATTCAAATGTACACAGAGACCAAGAACAACAAAAAACTCAAGGTCAGCATTTGTTTTATAAGAAAAATTCTTATTATGCAACTTGCCTAGAGCAATATTGTGCCTTTCCAATTTATGTTAGTTATATTCTATAAGAACTAACTGTATCTATCTAGAATGCAAAATATAGTTGCTTACATCTTAGTAATTTGCTTGTATAGGAGATTATGATGGGCACATTTTTTATATATCTTATTTTAGATTCTATAGTAATCAAAATTTCATCTTAATTCCCTGCTTTTATTGTTAGTTAAAAAATAGTGTAGGATTTATAGATTGACGAACATATAGCTTTTTCTCCATTAATATATGAGCTTTTGCTTTCTGTTCCCTGTGGGGGGTATGATCATGTTAAGGGGTGAGGAAAATTTGCAGCATTATCTAAGAGTTTTCTGCTGTTGTGGTGTCGCAAGTTTCTACTGGTGAAACTAGTAAAGAATATGTAATTGCTTGCTGGCATTCATAGCTGATCTTAGCATTTAAGATTGTGTTCTTTGGATATATTTTACAAAGACATCATACTGGGAGTTGGAGTCAGTGAAAGTGTTCTTGATGGAGAAGTCAATTAAAGGTTGATAGAGGAACGTTAAATGTTTTAAAAGCTCATCCGTACACACTAAAATATAAGAAAAGTACTTTCTTTATAAAAAATCTTTTTTTTTAAATCCAGAAGAAGCACATCCAAACAAGCATATATTCAATGTAAAACAAGGTGGTGATATAGTGCATCCCTCTAACCTATTACTTTCTTCTGAATTATTCTATTGATTGATTAGTCTTATGCTTGGGGAAGTTTGTTTACCAGTATTTAGGAGTCTCCATGATATTAAATGCAGCAACTTTACCAAAAAGCACTCACTATTAAGTCAGCAATTCCCCATCCAAGAATAATGGGAATTATCCATGAATGTGGGGGGAAAATGCATATGGCAGAGCGCCAGTGGGCTGAAGCAGCTACAGATTTTTTTGAAGCTTTTAAGAATTATGACGAAGCTGGGAATCAGAGGCGTATCCAATGCTTGAAGTAAGCAAACAGAATTTTTTTAGTTTTTACTTTATTTATTACTTTCAAACAATTTGTATAACAATAAATCTTTAATTACAAAAAATGCAATTAACTGTGAATCATCGATTTTAGTGATAATTTTTATAAAGATATATTATATACTTGTCTTATAAAATCCATAACCTTTTCCTCAGATTTAGCATTTATGCTTGACTGCAGTAAAATAAACCATTTGAGCATTCTTGCTTCGTATTTAAGGTCTTGTACCATAATTGTTATCATGTGTCAGGTACCTTGTACTTGCCAACATGTTGATGGAGTCTGAAGTAAATCCATTTGATGGGCAGGAGGCTAAGCCGTAAGTCCTCTGTATTTTATCTAAGTGTACTTGACTATATTTCATTTCTCCGGTTCTCCCATTCCTTGATTCAATCCCCATAAGCTGAGGATGGTGTCTCCCCTTTTCTCTCTGTATTAACCCATCATGTATTATGTATTGCAGTTATAAGAATGACCCGGAAATTTTGGCAATGACAAATTTAATAGCAGCCTATCAACGGAATGAAATATTGGAGTTTGAGAAAATCCTGAAGGTACATTTATTGAGTCTAGCATGAGAATATGTCTCACTAATTTGATCTTAACACATTTCTCTTATTTTTCTATCCAATATTTGTTGGAAATGAATATTGGGTATTTTGCTTTCCAGAGTAACCGAAGAACCATCATGGATGATCCATTTATTAGAAATTACATCGAGGATCTGCTAAAGAATATCAGAACACAAGTCTTGCTGAAGCTCATCAAACCGTATACAAGGATCAGGATCCCATTTATATCCAAGGTAACTGCACTTCCACTACTCTTGCATTTCAATTTCATTTTTGAGCTACCCCTCACCCCCATCCCATCAAACAAATTAATGGAATAAAAAAAAAAGGAAAGTAAATAGTCAAATTATACCTACTTTTTCTATCAAAAAATTAGTCAAATACACCTTGACAACAACCATTCCTTCCTGTCCTTGTTTTAAGGGGTGATGGTATAATGTTAGTTGGGTAAGACTCTGCTCATTGTGAAGGGAATAAGCCAAACATTATCCCGTGGACTCTTTCATGCCTCTTATTTTTAGTAATGTTTATTTTTTCAGTTGAATTTATGAGGAACTTAAGTTATGGTTAGTCTAATATTTTTATGTAATAAAACGCGTTAATTTGCAGGAACTTAATGTGCCTGAGCATGATGTTGAGCAGCTACTGGTATCGCTTATTTTGGATAACAGAATTCAAGGACACATTGATCAAGTGAACCGGCTCTTAGAACGCTCTGATAGGTCATTTTTTTTTTTAATTCCTTTTAGTTTTTACTGAATTTAGTAGATTCATAATTTTGTTAATAAAACCTGGTATTTTTATTAACATTAAAATTCATGGTTCAGGTCGAAAGGAATGAAAAAGTATACTGCCGTGGACAAATGGAACACACAGCTTAAATCTCTTTATCAAACTATCAGCAACAGAGTTGGTTAAACCGTGGTGTCTGGTGGAAGGAGTATCTGTGTTGTTGCCCCAGCTTGCAGTTTTGTCATGTGAATTAAAATAGCTTTTATGGAGAGTTAGGAATGTATTGCTCCAATAGTGGCACCGAAGTGAAACCCAACTTGTGATTCATGTTTTATTTTATAAAATATAATTGTTCGAAATATTGATGATTCAAGGAGAATTCGTCTCATTTTATTTTGGTGCTGAAAACATCTGCACAGTACAATGAAGGATTTTCCTCTCTTTTCACTATTCCATCAAAAGATCAAGACAACATAAAACAGGTCCATACGGATAACCAGTCATACATAAAAAAAAACCCACTCCGAATTAAACCTGACTAGCGAGTGTGGGATGAAGGTAATTCTTGTACGTAGTTTTACCCTTACATTATTGGAAGAGGTTGTTTTCTGGATTCAAATTCATCATAATTTATATTAAATTCAGATGCTTCCTCTTGTAAGTTCTGATCGACTTGGGTCACCTCTACTGTGTCAGTTTCTCCCTTTTTTATTTGCACCCCGTTTACACCTTTGGTTTCATTGGTACTATAAGCTTCTAGCTTGCTCCCCTTTACCTCTGACTTCTTTTCTTCATGATCTATGTCATGCTCACAAACTGAGAAATCAACTTCTGTAATCCAATTTCTCAACAGACTGGTGGCCATTTCATCTGTTTGTGGTAGGGCAAGGAAAGTTCAATTTCTTGTCTAAAAATACATAACCAAGAAGGATGGAGATCCCATGAGAGAGAGAGAGAGCATACCTAATCGAGGGACAGTGTGACCTTGGGGATGCCTTATTATAAGGGGTTTGTCAAAAGCTGAGGCAAGCTCCTCAGAAGGAAGTTTCAGCCAATCTTTGTCCCCAATGAAGTGAACAGATTTAGCTTTGATGGGGTCCTTGTAGGCAACATCACATATGCTGGGATCTCTAAATTTGGATCCTGATATTGATACTAAAAGTTTTATGGGCGGATGCTCCTTTAGCAACTTTCCCTGTGAATTTCATGTTCATTACTCAGAATTTAGTAGTTGAATTTAAATTATAAATCAAATTACAGTAATTACTCACCTGCGCCTGGTAACCTATCAAAAGTGCTGAAAGTGTTGCACCCTGATTTCCATAAAAGAAGGAAGAAAACCAAGTCAAATAGTAGCTATACAGAAATGGAATATACACAAGTCCAAAAGTGTTACTTTTAGAGCAATTTATGAATGTTTACCTGTGAGAAGCCCAGGAAACCATCAAAGGGTCCGTTGGCTGTGATGTATTCGCACAAGTAGGAGATGCATTCTTCCAAGTTAGTGTACTCCGTGAACTCCTGAATAACAGTTGTGTATATGCTCAGTTAAATTCAATTTGTTTTCCTCTAATCCAAGGCAAATGAAGTTTGATAAATTCATTGTGGAAATATGAAAGAAAAGAGGATACAGTATATTTCTACCTTGTTGAATTGAAACCACTCAAAGTAAGGTGGAGGAAAGATGCCTTCTATGTCAGACTTCCCTCCAGCAGGAAATTTACCATCTGGGAATTCCTGTCACCATAAATGCTTCATATCTTAGTTTCTGATACTTACACATAGTAAATTGTAAAACTCTTTTGGTTCTATTGCTTTCTTCTGTATATTTTTGTGCTTTGGCAAAAATAAAGACTATACAATATATTTAGCCGTAACCAATGTTATAACATTATCAATACTTAAGAACAAGGGCCTTAAAAGTTAAAAATGCCAAATACACACACTTGGCACTTGAACATTAAAAAAAGAAATATGTTACCATATCAAATTGAGCAAATAGAGAAGGATCCCATTTGCTGATTTGCTTTTTCAGAAAACTCCCACTGGTTCTGAATCCATGAAGGCACAGTATTTTAAGCTTCTTTCTATTTTCTCCTTCCATCTTTTGTTTATCTGTATGCTGCAACACCACAAGCTATGGAGATTGAGCTTTTTATAAGAACCATGAATTATTAAGCAGAGGCTGTTGTTCTTACCTACCTCCATATTTAAGGCATTCCGCTAGCTCTCTTAATTGACTTGGTTGGTTGGTGTTGCACGTGCAAGCTACACACAAGTGCAATGTGGGCTGCGACATAGTCATCATATATACACTCTGGGTAATTTTGGGGTCCTTCAATCAATTTTCCAACTTCATGAAACTTATCATTGGGCTATTGAGTAGTGAGCTTAAGTGTTTGCCAAGTTTCAATTATTGGTGGTTTACATCATTAGTATATCATTTAAGGATCACTGTAATATAAGATATTGTCAATATCTGATCTTAGAATTTGAGAACATTTCAATGCTTGCTAAACTTATATATTAGCATGGATTTCAATCAATTCATAATGTTTAAAGTCATTATTAAAAAAAAATAAAAAATACTTTTTTCGGTGTACAAAATGCATTTTTTATCGGCACTTGAAATTGATGCGTTGAATAAAGTATTGAATTGAAGCTAATATTATATACGCAGAGCGTATTTGAATTCTATTTTTTTAAACTAAAAGTTAAAAAAAAAACTTTAAAAAAAAGTTATAAATTGTTTGGTGATTACATAAAATTTTTTAACTTAAAAGCACATATTTCAAGAAAAGTTCCTCTCTCTATCTCTATGGCTTTTCATTAAAAAAAAAAACACAATTTAAGAAAAACTTATAAGAGCTTAAAAAATAAGCAGAGTTTTTGATTTTTTTTCTTAAATATAAAAAAAAAAACTTTTCATTATAAGAACTTTTCTCAAACCTGTTTGGCCTAACTTCTGCTTATAAAGAAAAAAGAAAAGCACATAGTAAATTACTGAAAGGAAGAAAGAAATTGAGGGCGTAGCTATTTTTTTTTCTCAATAATTTATTTATTTTATTTTAATATTATTATTTTTATAAGGTGAACTTTTGTATGGACTCAAATTATATTCATATTGTAAGATGTCGTTTGTTTCAACTTTAAAAAAAAGTAACTTTTGTCACTTTCTTATTTTAAAAGTACTTTTTACAAATGTTAAAACTATTTATATTTTTATAAAAATATTTAGTTTTTGAAAAAATATTTGACTTTTGACTTCTGCTTTTCTTAGAAGTTAAAAATTTTAGTTCTGAAAAAAGTAGGTTTTTGACTTTTTTTGTGACTTTTTTTTTTTTTAAAAGCAGACGTCCAAACGAACTAAAAACGTGAAGTGCTTTTTTTTCTTGGAAAAAAGCAACTTTTGAAGAATAAAAACTCATTCAGACGGACCTAAATTCAATATGCAATGAGACTTACGTAGATTCAATTGCATTTAACTCATTGAAATGAGCAAGTTCACAAAAACGAATATAAACTAAGTTTATATAAAAAATGGGCTTTATACTTCTCAATATATAATAGCAGAAGTATAAAGATTCCCGGCAAAGAAAAGAAATGGTGAGACCGATATTTTATTTTATTTAAAACAAAAATCAGACACGAAAATCGAAGGATGACAAAACGCTTATAGTGTTGTAGGAGAAACAAAAAAAGGTGTATTTTCCATAAAAAATAAATTTTTTTCGTAGAGATAGTATTCACACAATAATGATTATGATTTATGGGCTTTATCTTTATCATAGGAAAAACATTATTGGTTCATACAAAAAGAAGATTTCGGAGAGAGAAAATAATATCGGTTCCGGATGCTACTTACTAAGGCTCACCAGATGAGCCCAATCGTTTAAAGCCCACATCTAGAACCTTCTAGAGGGCACCCATGACAAGCCATAGAGGCTCACCATTGTGACATTTCTCATCCCTGCACTGCTGCCCCTGTACTTTGACAGTGGGCAGCTTGATGAGACAGCTCATGGGCTGACCAGCTCAAACCCCATGAAGAGAGAACTCTCCTCTCTAAATACCCCTCTCACACATGGAGAGGGGATCTTCTTCTTCTGCATCTTCTACCTACGCTGTCACTTTGTCCATTGGTAGAGTACACACACCCCTCCTTATGCACCATGGGAAGCTTCACTAGTGGCTTGGTCTCTACCAAGACCACTATGGACACCCCCTATCTCAAGATACTTCACCCTCTATAGAACACATCTTATGTGCACCGAGAATACAATATCAATAGATTTTACATCAAATTTTCTCTCAGTAGGAATTATGCTTTGAGAAAAATAAAACCCAATGATTATGTAAAACTCGATAGTGTCATACTTTTATTGTTATAGTTACTTAGCAACTACTTGAACTTAAAAAGTGTTTATAACTAACTAGAGCAGAAAGGTAACAAAGCAGCCATAACATTTCGAGTAAGATTCGATACTGGGATGAAGTAATCTCAAAATTTTTTGATACCAATGAAACTAAAGCTTTTAAATAAGAGAAGTGGTTTTTAGCCAAATGAAATCAACACTAATTTCACACAAAACGAGAAACGTTAGCATGATGCCAAATGTCTTGATATCACTCTCCTTGATTTCAAGAGATTCACCCAAGAGAAATGGCCAATGGGGAACAATTAGAATTCTATTGTCATCATGATCACGATGGGAATAAATTTTTGGTGCTACTGTTGTATCAAGATTCAGTGAATCTCACTAATTGAAACATTACACATCATAAGAGAGAAAAAAAATTTGGAAGAGAAAAGAAAATTTTAACTGATATGTAATATTTCTATTGGTGAAATTCACTAAATTTTTAGTGCAACAGTAGCACCAAAGATTTATTTGATGATGAGATGCTAAATCACCCCAAATACAAATATTATCTATGTATCTCCACCCCAATTTCAGCCGTAGCTGTTATTTATTTCATTTGACATGTTATTTTTCTTTTTTCTTTTTGGAATTACATGTTATTTTTCTTTGCTTTCAAACTATATCCTATAATTTCTAATTGATTTGATCCATTATTCAGGTACTTCTACCAATGTAGTAGGCTGGTCTTATAGCATTCCAGTGAACCCAAGCCTAGGGGTGTTCGCGGTCTGGATTGGATCGGTTTTGGAAGCAAAACTCATCCGATCCAATCCCTTCGGTTTGATCATGTAATCATCTATTCGGTTTAGATTTTTTTTCAAATCTGATTCGATCCGATCCAATTTTTTTCGGTTTGGATTGGATCGGTTTTCGGTTTTCAAATATTCTAAAATTTGTTTCATGATTATTGTGCAAATAACATCTTTTGTATATATTGGATTTGTAAATGTTGAGATATATAAAACCATTAATGTAGCCTCACCCAAAAGCTTAAGCTTTTGGGTTGAATTGGTTCTTTACATGGTATCAGAGCTAATTACAAAAAATTGAAATACAAAAAATATCAGTAAACAATATTATAGTTGATGAGACGCGACTAAGTTTTTTCTTGGGTTTAGTTGATGAATTAATGGGTCTTGAGTTTAGAAATTTTTGGGCTATGATTGAGGAAATGACCAAGTAGGTAAAAGAGAATTAATATATTGGATCGGTTTTCATCAACTCATCCGAAAACCGATCCAATCCAATTAAAATTTGCGATTTTTTTTCGGTTTTTGGTTTTTTGGTTTTCGGTTTATTCGGTTATCGGTTTTTCGGTTCGGTTTTCGCAGTTTGAATCGGTTTGGATCGGTTGATGAACGCCCCTACCCAAGCCCACCCTAAAGAGCTCAGTGGAGCCGATAAAACAATAATGTTTGTGTGCTACTTCAACCTGAGATTGATTTATTTATATATAAATTAACCTAGGTGTATGTCTATTTATTTTATAAACATTTTAGTTTTATGGTATTTCTATTATTTAGTCGCAAAATTAAAATAACTCTTTTCTTGAAATATTTCTTCTTATTTCATCACTCTCTAAATTACTTATTCTCAGTCTATATTTGGTGCAGTTCATCTTTTGAAAATAATAAATAGAATTTAAAAAGATATACTGTTTAATCATATTATATAAATTATTTAAATATAAAATAAATTTTACTTTTCAAAAGAAAATTTACATGTATTTACAATAAAGTTATAAAATTATCTCAAACTGTTATAATTGGATTGCAGCATTATATTTGCCACGGTGTTTTACTTATTTCGAATGATACAAATAAGGTTCTCTTTTCTTCTACTTTTATTGTTCATGTTTTGTCAATGAATGAGTAGAGTTACGGAATATTTTTTGATGGAACGAGTAGAATACGATGATAGATGGGAATGAATTTTTCTCTATTTTGTATTTTAATATGGTGGAAATTTATAACTTTTTATTTATGGAAAAAGTGTGTATAATTTTAAAGGATGTAAAGTTGTGTCATTTTAAGAGAGAGAAAGAGATAGATTAAGGAGGAGAGAGAGTTGACAAAAAAAATAAAGGTGTGAATCCCACATCTTTGTGAGAGTGAAATGATGTAAGTTGTGTAATTTTAAATGATAGACATTTTTCCCTTTATTTATATATTCACCGACTCACCGTCACAATTAAAGTGAATAAGTTCATAAAATAAAAATAAAAAACTATCATTTTATTTCCTATTGTTGATTTATGAATAAGGGCAGAAAAATTATATAATTGTTTTTTTTTAAATACTGAATTAAAGTTATTTTTGAACAATTTATCCTACTAATGCAGTCACTTGTACACAGACTTAATATGCAATTAATTGTGATACATTTGCAACTGTGATGTGACACGCTTCCATGAATTGCGATACATGAGTTTATCATGTGGATTGTGGAACCATCGCATTGCATAATTTTTTGGTCCTTTCTATCTTTTAATTCTCTAAAATGTCACAATTTTTTTTCGCGTTTTTATCGAAATGAATTCAAGTTTGTAATTACTTTGTGCCGATCTTTACTATAATGGTAAAAAATTTAAAGGTCGCGATGGAAACGTACTCAAAGGTTAGAAAAGACAAATGCGTATTAAATGTAATATAACATCCTATGTAATCGGCTAGCATACACAACATCATATTACCTCTTAATTCTTATTTTAAATAAAAGAACGGGAATTCTACTAAGGTTCTAACTTAGAGGATACAAAATAAACCATATGATAAAATATACTTAAAATTTAATTATACATAGGGCTGAGTCAAATACATTGATTCC